TACCAATCAGTGGCTGCCTCTTTCTGTTGTCGTGAAACCTCACCACCTCTTTCTAGCGACGGCCGCTGCTTTCTATTATAATACATAGTCCGCGCCTCCTATACGCCATATAGATTCGTGCTACGCTGACCCACTACAAATCGACTAGAAATATGGCAGCGAAGATATGGTTTTAGTGAGCAAAATTTATGGTTAAGAAAGTGTAGAACCCAAAACGGCCGAAACACCAAATAAGTGAACTTCTTATATGAACATAAATCACTTTGTGGGGAACAGTAACACTTCTACGGGTTAATCCCACATGTGATTTCCTTTCTTCAATTAACATTCTACCCGGTGCTGTGATGATTTTCATTTCATAGTCATACGATAAAGTTGGACTGGTATCAGAACAGTTGCATACTAATGTTTTCAATGATCTATGTCCTCAAATCGTTCGCCTTCTGAGTTTTTTTTTTGAGTAGCCCAGTCTCGTGGAGATCGCATAAGTCTAGATTATTCCGCATCAGTGGAACACTTAGGGACCTACGTTATAGTCTAATCCCTAAGATCAGGCTATTAGATAGACCATCGAGATCGAGTGTTCAACCGCTCATTTCCACACGCTACTTGCAGGTGCTGTGTGGGGCCCGCTGTTGTGAAGGGTTGTTAGATTGATTGTGATGTTGTGCTGAAAGAAGAGAATCTCAAATGAGAGAACCTCGTCTTTCGCATCGATGGTGAAGCTTTATTTCACTAATGAGACCACAGTAGTTGATTGCTTTCATGGTTTCATGGTTCAGCGTCAGAGAGGACATTTCTCAATAAACATTTTTCCCCAAGTAGCTGGGTTTTCTTTTTAGAGCGAGTTCTCTCTGCTCTTCTTTCTTCGCTCCATGCCTGCATGCTTCGATCAAGTTGTGTATTAATGCTTCGACCTAATGCGATAAATGAAAGTTCCGTGCAAAGAATTCCCTCTATTTTTGATTTTCAGCCCAAGTTCTACTCTCAATGGATCTCGACACGAACACTCTCCTCCACGTTCAACCGCTCGAGGCCGGTTTAAGTTAGATTGACCCACGTGAGTTGGATTGCAACCTGATTACTAGTATAGAGCAGCGGCGCGCTGTTTTTGTCTTGACTTTTTTACCATACGCTGTTTTCTTACACTCCTAAAAATGTCTCCATGCTTTCCAGAGCTCTGTTTCCTTGTTAACTGAACTGCTGGAACAACTTCTGCTTCCTGCCCTTGCTTACTTATATCGGCGATCGTTTCCTTTTTTTGGGTCGGCTATTTCAGTAGTATTTGCGATGATCATGCAGCGCCTCTGAAGGAAGACTGAAAAGAAGAGAGCGTTGGATAACTCGAGTGATTTCGAGGTAGCCCAAGATGTCCCTAATCAGTCTTCCGGAATGACTTCATCATATGCAGATTGAGCCATGCTTTCAGCGAGCCATCTTATTGAAGATTTTCTAGAGCGTGGCACTAATCATGAGATTAACATCACTGATTACAAAATCGAAAGCATGCCACTAGTTTATGCGGATAAGATCGCTAGCGAAATGTCAGAACTTGTAGATGCATCGTTCCGAGTGGACTTTAAGGACAACTTATCCATCTTTGAAGCAGAACAGACGGAATGTTCCAATATAATTGAGTCAAGTCTATCTTACAGGAGAAGAGGGCCCAGCGTGTCCCAGACTAGCAAAGAATTTGCTGTTAGGTGGGTTCGCAAATATTGTTGTCAGAAGGGGTTTGACTCTTCATGAAAGGAAACTTGAGTGTGAGCTCCCATAGCAGACAATGGTGGGCAACAATTGTAAGTACGGGTTGTGAACATGGGAGGAGCTTAAGCACGTTCAAAGTTGTTGCAGAGATATAAGTATGCAGGGTTCTCCAAATAGCCGCAACCCAAGTTGCTTACTCTTTGGTGCCCATAGTATTGTAAAGGAAATTCTTTAGTTCCATAGTTTTTGAGTAAATCGAAGCCGGTGTTCTAGCAATTACTGAAACATTGATGAGATCTGATGCTCTCGACAATCTTTTGACTGGAGGCTTCTAAAATGCTTTCACAGCCATGTCCGTAGAGGTAGCAGAGAAAATGGGATCGTTGTACGGTGAACTCCTCATATCAAAAGAAGTCAAAGATGGTTTTGGATACAGTCCGGATCTGACTTGTATTGATTTTTGAACCTCAAACTTGTGACGGTCTACCGCCCACCTAATACCTCTTCTACGGTCCACAGTTTCTTCATAGAATTCTTATAAATCTTCAATATGCGCGATGTCACACATTGCTTATTAGTAATTTGAACCTCTCTACCGATTAGTTCAAGCAACCGCGAAATCGTGTCATTTCGCTTCGCAATGCCCACATTTCTTTGACAGTTTTGGTTTTGTTCTCGCACAAAGCAACAAAGCAAAGGCATCTTACGGTTACAAAATGCTAGCCCTCTTCTTATGGCCTTTTGCAGTGCAATCAGTGTTTCTAGTGTTTCATCACAATATGACATTCAAGGTGATTCGAGAAATTTCACTCAAATCCTTCACCCAACTTTGCCAATGTTGATCACCGATTGTTCGGTCTTAGTTGCTACTGACTACTCGGTTGCTTTCAACGATGATACTTTGACAGGCATGTTTACGAAAGGTTTCAAAGAGAATTTCCTACTCCTTACTCTTTTCTTTTGTTTCATTTCCAAGTTCTAGAAAGTTCTCTAGCTAACTTTTTCTCCGTGGATAACTCTGGACGAGGTCTAGATCAGCAGCCAGTTTGGGGTCACCCACCGTCTGACGCCGACTTTAATTGATAATATCGATGTTTAATACTTACCAAGCTCAGGCCATCCCTGGCTGAACCCTATAATGATGTATTCTAGATATATTTCCGTAAATGTTTGCGTTTATTAGCAAACGTCAGCGCACATATTTAGGAATCGAAGAATTACCCAATATTCTGGTATGAATCTGGCTGTTATCCGATATTGCTTACTGCTGCCAAGGTCGTGGGAATACTATAACTACAGGGTGGGCCAAAAATATGGTTACACAGATATCACATCCATGAAAAGAAAAAGAAAACTAATAAAACAATCCAATTTCGAAAAAAATCGTCTGCCACTGATTTCTTACCAAAGTAACACATCGGAATTCAGATCTGCTGCTTTCTGCTTTCACTCAACCACGGCGGCGTCGGACGACAGATGGCGTCGACAGTGGCATGCAGCTAGGATCAACGATTTGATCCCCGCTCTTTACAAGGCATTTTCGAGATTATTTCAATTCTTGTTTGGGCTGACGTATGCTTCTATCTCCAATGTTGGCCACACTTAGACATCCATGGGATTCGGGTCAGGGCTCCTAAATGGCCACTGATCTCATATTATGAAGTCGGGCGACTCCTTTTACGAGGTTTCTGAACAATTCCTGGTCTGCGGTGAGAAGCCTCCTATTGAAAATGTGTCTGGTTCGAATCGTCAAAGTGACCTGTTGCGCAGAGTAAGATCAGACAAGTTTCCGAATCAACTTTCATTCCTCAATTTGCAAAATTAATCAGTGTCTTCGCCTCAGCGGTGATGCTCGCAAAGGCCATCACAGAAAGTTAGTGAGCCAAGCGCCGTGTTTTTCCCATTTCTTCCAGCTTCGTATAAATCCTGTCGCTCTGCTTGATGAGCATCTTTTCACCGTGGATATCTTTTCGTCGATGAAAATGCATTCCCTATGACGATTTATTTGGAAACGGAGTAGCAGCTCTTCTGAGCCAACCTTCCTCGTTTCTTAAGCCTGCTTACTCGGGGAATCACTTACTGATCGTATAAAGGCCTTGTCGTGCAGATGATTTTTTACGATTATGCGCAGAAAACTTCAAGAGTTCATCCCTTAGCCATTTTTTGCTACGCACACCTTCGCCCTGCTTCATTAGCACTTCTCCTAAATGTTACATAAGCCTTCTATGTTCATCCCTCCGATCTGCAGTGGTTCCCAATTCTTGAAAGCGTCTTATGGTTGAATATAACAGCTGTCTTGTTGTTATTTGAGTTGCCTGTAGATGTTCCGTGCCAAATGCATTTGTAAATGCAAGGCGATGATTGATTCAGGGAAAGTACACTTTCATTATTTTTGGATCCTGACAAAAGTTTAGTACCACTAGGGATGAAATAATGTAACCTACCTTGTGAAATGGAAGAAACCAAATGAAATGTTATAAACTCTGAAAAAATTTGGTATGCGCGTCAGCGAGCGCTGTCAACATAATTTTGTCCTACCCTGTAGAAGGATGTTAGCCTGAACAAATAGATTTAAGATCGAGATCCATTTTGGAAGAGCAACACGACTCCTGTGTGATGCTCTCCCCTAATTTGCTTGACACCTTCTTTGGTTAACCTGTTGCCCCAAACAATGAGACATAGATGGAGATCAGCCATTCGAAGCTTTTAAGAAGACTACATGGTCTTGGCATCGGTGGGCAACTCCTATTTGTTTCAGACCTGACTTCAGAGTTAAACATATAACGAAACGTTTTTTAAACTTCTCTAAACGCCATGATTATTATGGCGGAGTTCCCCAAAGCGGTGTGCCACCAACCCTTTTGTTTCTCAATTGATGTCCCGTTGATGTCCTACCTTCCATGAAAAGCTCAAGTTATAATGAAATACAAATACATGCGGATGACTTTAACACGTTGCGTACCGGCGCTCTGCGATTTTCTTACGCTCGTGGCCAAGTATGTTTTCTATAATGTTCTCGCATATGGAGAACCACATATCTGCCTAACACTCTGTGATTAAAGAGATATTTTGTTGATCAACTGTGTGTGCTAAATCTAAATCTAACAAAACCTACTTAGTGCTGAATCTTGCAATAGCAACTCCAACCGGCCAAAGTTTTTTGACTCAAAGTTTTCCAACCAGGCGAAAGGTGCACTTCTTTCCACACATCGACTTTGTGTCCCCTCGTCTCATTCCAGGAGAGCAACTTTAAGTCCAATGAAGTTCTGTTATCGATTCTGGTAGTATTCCAGATGGAAGTTCTGGAGAATTCATTGGTGCAACTGCTTAGTGATAGCGCTGAAGAAGCGAACAATGAAGATGTTTCGGGAGCTCCTGATGGTTTGCTCGCTGATGCCGTTGAATCAAGTGATGATGAAGATAGTGAAGAGAAGCCTGAAGCCGGTTGGTCCTCGACTATAGTTAAATCAAGTGTAGTACCTTCTACCGAGGATAGTGGAATCCAAAACGACAATGTCTATGCATTCAGCAATCCAATGAGTTTCTACAAAATATTCATGACAGACGAATTGATGAAACTGGTGAATGAAGAATAAAACCGTTATGGATCCGCCAGGTATCCGACTTGGTCTGTGCTTGAAGAGCAGGAGTTCTACAAGTTCTCAGCCATTTGTTTTCATATGAACATCGAGAAGAGGTCTGTTCTCAAAGAATACTGGTCTACAAGAATTATATACAGCGGATCTTTTGCAGCCAGACTGATGACAAGATACCGTTTCATTGAGACTTTAAACTCTCTCCACTTCGCTACCTCAAACAAGGTTTCCTCGGATTCTCACACACTGCGGACACCCCCTGGACCTAAGCGAGAACACAGTAGTCGATGTGTGAAGTGCTACAAAAAGTTAGCGGAAGAACACGGCGCCCCTTACGCAAGATCGAAAGCCTCGCAATTAGACACGAAATGTTCGAAGTGTAGGAAATATTACTGCCTGAATTGCTACCGATTGTATCACAAAAAGTGTTCGGGAAGTTTAGAATAATTGCTTAGATTGCTACCATGTTCATTTGGAATGTTATCTGTCATTCCTTCTCATTTGTCACCTTCACCTTCCAGCTGAAGGTTATGGGATTTTGTTTTATCAAAAATTACGAGTCACTTATTTCTCTTGATTTTAATTTGCTATCACTTTCACTTTATGAGTTTTCATTTTCATAACGAGCCATGATCTTGCATTCCAGTACAATTGCCTGTATATTATTTTTTTCATGAGTTCTCAATTTCATAAGTGCACCTTTACGATCTCTGGTTCAATTACCAAAATTATTATCGGAGCGTTTGCGAATTCCATTTCTATCACATATGTCCGGTTGTATTGGTATGAACACGAGTACGATGATTGTCGTAATTAGTTCACAAGATGTTACAATAAAACTTGTTAGTAGCGTTAGAGTCGTGATTACATAATATTATGGTGTATGGACGCTCCATATTTTCTCAGCTGTTGGAGTCCCAAGCAGATATGTTGTTCAGCATGTTCAAAAAAAACATGATTGCAAATTTTGACTAGTATTGCTTCACAAAGAAAGTAGGAATTTGAATTTAATGCATCACCATGTGATGCACTTGGTATGCAATGTGTTAAGTTTCATGTGTCGCATAATATGGTAAGCCATGGAGAAGCTCGGCCACTCTTGAACGTTCCATTCAAAAGATGGCTGATTGAGACACTCCATGGCAATAAGCCATTATACTTAAAAAGTGTTCCGTTTTGTTCACCAGTGGAGATTCCTCTAGAAACATAAATATGGAGGCAGCAAACTTACCTGCTCGTGGTCTGTCAAGGACCTGAGAGGAAATAGCCCGTTCTCACTGTTTTGTTTCTCACACTACGCAATGTAAAACTGAAACCACAGAGTTTCAGTTCGTTTGTTAGAGGTATATGCCCTCTGTAGCGAAAGACGCTACTTTTTGCAGATATGGTCAGAACGATTTATTCTTCCATGGATTGCTTTTAGAGTAAGTTCTTATCAGTAAGTCTGTGATCTGAATATACATTTTCCAGATGTTTATTATTACATCGCCGCTGACGGGACGATGCCACATAAATAGCGAGGTTGCGAACTTAGGCGGCTTTTTGCCACAGCTTGGGTTCTGACGAGATCCCCCGTCTGACGATACCGTACTTCAACAATATCAACGATCCCGCTAACGATTGTTCTATTATTATCTGTATCCTTGAAACCTACGTTTTAAATAAAGACTACGTATCTAATTTAAGTGAAGGAACAATATTAGCAATATATCGACTAATATTATCAATACAACGTATCAATATCTCTAGAGGAACTTCCAAACGATTCAGTGAGTGCATCAAATATAAAACGGGAAACAATATATCGATAAACTGGTTTCAGGAATATCCGCCTTATTATCGATATAAGCTTGACCCGCTACCAGCAATATCAGAAAACCGCGTGGCCAGTGGATCTATCCACTGATAGGCGAGCCCTTCAATATCTACAAATTCGGTGCATCGGAGCCTCCTAAAGAACTAGGTCGGCGTTTCTTCTTCCTTCTTTGAGAATCGATAGGTGGCATTAATCGTTGGCAGTAGCCTTATAAGCAACACCATTCTTCCTCTGCTTTCTTTTAATGAGCCTTTTCTGATCGAACAATATCACCATTAAAAAAACATTGTCTCAGATAGGTTCTCTAGAAAGAACACAGAGGCGCTTCACTAATACGTTCGACCATACGGTAAATAAATTGAGGAACTAGAACAGATTTCCTGGGAGGAATTACATCGAAAGAGGCTGTACGGAACGCAATAAGTAGACTGGAAGAAGGTCTTGCTGCTCTAGATTTTGATACCGCTAAAATCGGAGGAAAATTGACTGAATATGCAGCGGTAATGGATAAGCTAGAAAACCCTTCCGGAAAGAACTTCAAGAGTATGAGCAGTATGCTGGTAAAGCTGAGTCAGCTATGTTTAGAGCGTTCGACCTCAATATGCTGTTCCAAGCTCAGCTTTGAGTAGGAAAAGCAATACGAGGAGAAACACCCCCGCAATCAATAACGGAGTCAATCGATAATGTGAGCACGAATCAGCTAACTAGTAAACAGCTGGAAGTCCCGCCGCTTTTGATTCCAGTCTTCAATGGAAACTTACGGGAGTGAGACAATGTTTGGGTATTGTACAACACCAATATACATTCGCAAGACCTTCCAGAGATGATCAAGTACAATTACTTGATTAATGCTCTGAAGGGCCCAGCGAAAGAAGCAGTAAAAAAGTTCCAATTAAGTAAAGGAAATTGCGATTAAGTGCTACAGTTCCTCCTCGATAAGTAAAATAATAGGGGCATCTTGTTAACCAACTGGTTGAAAAGCTCGATAAGTGCGCTCTCCGAGGTCCCTCGACAAGAGACCAGCGCTCGCTCTCAGAAGAAGTACAAGTTATCGTCATGCAGTTAACAGAAAAAGGGGAGAATATCGATAGCTTTTGACTGATCAAGAAAGTTCTGTCCACATTCCCGCGGAAGTGATGCGTAAGGTGTGCTAGGAAACAAGGAAGCTCGCAGGCTCCCTTCAAAATGCATGACCTCACACAATATTTGAAGGACTACCTTTTTACAGAAGAAATGTGCACGTTGTACATAGGAGAAAAAACGACCAACCAAAAGCCATCCCGCTATAATTCGACGAGCACAATGAAAAGAACTGGAGCTGCTACTTGCATGTGCATGTGCATGCATGCAGCGGTGATCATGCATCCTTTCAATGCACAGTCTTTCCCACTCCTCAGAAACGTTCCGAGTATCTGAGGCAAAATTAGTTGTGTCTTTGATGTGCATCCTCCGCCGCACATAAAACATTGCAATGTAGACGTCGACCCTGTTTTTACTGTAAAGCAGCTCACCATAGTTTCTGCTGTTTTAAGCAGCAAAGTCGCAAAGCAGAAGCGCCCTCAACAAAGCCAGAGCAACCAACCACTGCGAAAAAAACCTCCAGAGAAGGGTAAAAAGGTCATTAAAGTTGCAGCATCAGTCAATATTAATCAAGTTATCAATGCTAACGATCTAGAACCCAATGAAATCGAGACTGCAGATCATAGTGCAGTCTTACAACTTCGAGCCATGCTGCACACACAACAAGACAATAAGTCGATTCTACCTGCAGGAGAGATCACTGTACTCAATCCCAATACGAAAGCCCTCATGAAAGTGGATGTATTGCTCGACAGTGGATCAGAGGTTTCTTTCATAGACACCTCTCTAGCCGAGGATTTGTGTCTACCAATCAACAAAGAAGAAAAAATAAAGCTTCATAAATTCGGATCGAAAGAAATTCGACCAGCCGAATGTGAGCTAGTACAACTTGGCATGTGGAAGGTGGAAGGAAAGATACTTATAATCCATTTGCCTACCCACAACGTACTAACCCGAGCCTCCTCTACACCCCGGATATCAAAAGACAGATTTGGCCGCAATTCGTGCACGAAGAGTATCTGTTCGATATGTCGATACCGATAAGGAAGTCGTCAAACCCTTAATACTTTTGGGGTGTGATCAGATGTGAGCTCTCTTCAAAACAGATGCCACACCAATAACCCTTCCGTCCGGATTAATTCTTCTTCCCATCAGTTTGGGATATGTAGTGTCGGGAAAACCTATAATCCCTACGCAGGAAACCCAACAAGTGCTACAAGTTTTACCTCACGTAGACGAAGCCGAGAGATGGAATAACTATTGGTCAATAGACGCCTAAGTGAACACGGTGCACTCCAGTGATACTCAGATAACCGAAGCAGAGCAAGAGATACTGCGGCGAGTCAAAGCGCTGTCCGACTATTCTACTCAGATGTGGGAAAACTACTGGACAGTGGTAGCCGCGGGGACGGAACAGTTCATGGGACCATCGAAGAAAGACCGGGAAGCTTTTGATAAAATGATGTGGGAACAATTCAACAATACAATAGAGAGAAGACAGAACGATTACGCCTACCGTGGAAAGAACAACACCATTACCTGCCGGACAACTACGCGATAGCCTATAAAAGCTTAATTAGTGTGTGGGCATCATTGGAGAAAGATGAATTATCGCTTAATCAATATAATAGCGTATTTCAAGAACAGCTGCCGAAGGAGATTGTGGAAATAGTAGACGACAATAGCTCTAGAATAGGGAATCAAGCCCACTGTATTCCACATCAGCCGATTCTGACGCCACACAAGTCAACGACTAAATCGCGGATAGTCTTCGACGCGTCAGCCCACTACAGAGGCAGTCCGTCTCTAACGACGTACTTTATAGAAGTCCGGTCATACTGCCGTCTTTGTATGGATTGTTGCTTCGATTTCGTACAGGAGCAATAGCTTTAATTTTGGATGTCGAGAAAGCCTTTCTACAGATCCGACTACATGAGGCCGATCGAGACGCCACTCGTTGTTTGTGGTTGCGAAATCACAACTACAAACACCAGAGGAAGACGATAGCCTCACGTTGCGTTTTACCCGAATCACATTCGGAATCAAATCTTCCCCATTTCTTTTAACAGGGTTAACAAGATATCATCTTGACACATATTTCGACGATCCGCTCTCCGAATAAATCGAAGCCAATATATACGTCGATAATTTGATACTGACATCGGACACATACCAAGAAGCAATTCAGTTCTATAAGAAGTCGAAGAAGATTTTCGGTGAGCTCGGCATGAATCTCCGCGAGTTTGCTTCGAACAATAATGAGGTATTGGAAAAATAGACGCGAGAGATAAAGCGAACACGCAACACCTAAAGTTCTAGGTGTTCAATTCACGGACATGACGGACATGTGTTGCCTGTCTTGCTTACTTCCGAAACCTTCACCAGTAACAGAACGAACAATAACTAGTGCAATAGCAACGGTTTACGACCCATTGGGATGGTTCGTTCCCCTGCTTCTCAATGCACGAAAACTTCTTCAGCATTTATGGAGAGAACAATACGATTGGGATACTCACTGGACGCCTGAACGAGCAAGTGAATGGGAACAAATTAGAAACAATACGCACGGATTTCAAAAAGAACTACCGCGATTCTTAGCTCCTAAGGCTAGTGAAGCCATATTAATTACATTTCCCGACGCTAGTACCAGCGGAATGACCACATGCACATACCTTTGCAGACTAGATTTCCCATCATCAAACTTGCTGATGGCAAGGTCGAAATTGCCATCAATACACAGGCAACAATACAGAAGCTTGAACTAAACGCAATAACATTAGCAATGCGTCTGAGCAGTTTAATCTTTTCTCAGTTAGGGAATGTGCTGAGGATCAGCAAAGTCCACATCTTCTCCGATTCCGAGATCGTGTTGAATTGGGTCCAGCATGATGATCAGCGAGAGCTTGGTGTACTCGTAAACAATAGATTGTTGAAATACGCCGCATAACAGAACACCCAAGCGAAAAAGGGTACGCATCATATTCGGGCATGTAACAACAGAATATAACCCGGCCGATTGTGGCACAAGAGGTCTTACATCGGATGAGATGAAAACCACTTCTGGTGAACAGGACCATGTTTCCTTCAAAAACATCAGGAGGAGTGGCCAGCATACAACAAGTTGTTCAATGCACCGCAGAGTGGCACAGTAGAGACTGCGGAGGAACCTCTCTTTCAGACAATTTTCTCTGCCACTACATAAACCCCAATGTCGTCCTCAGAGGAATCTGACATAATCAAAAGAGGTCATGTAGGGACCCTCACTCAGGCAAAACGAATATTAGCCTATGCACTAAGGTTCCTAAGTGCTCTCGCTAGACGAATTCGCAAACGGGGAAAGAAGTTGAGTGTAGCTTTACTAGAGAACGACAAAATATCACGACAATCCCAGTTCCTAAGTGGAAAAGAGCTCGAATTTGCTGGTCGCCTACTCATAAGACATCATCAGAGGATGATGATAAGCAATAACATTTTCGAATACTCCGAGTCCCTCAACGTGAGGCCGGATGTCGAAGGTATTTTGAGATGCTACGGGCGACTGGGTCACGCTCAAATAGATGTGAGAGCGAAATATCCAATATTTGTTTTACAGAAGACCCTTCTGGCAGAGTTAATTATTCAGGAACTTCACTGCAGAGGACATCCAGGGGACAGCATGCAATGGCTCTTGTACGTCAAGAATTCTGGATTCCTCAATTACGCTCACAGATCGTACGAATTGTGAGAAAATGCGTTCTATGTCGAAAATTCAAATCTTCCATATCAGTACCCTGCCCAAGAAGATTTGCCGAAAGAACGAGTGGTCCGGTCATGTCCTTTCAGCCACATAGGACTGGATTATTTTGGCCCCTAACTATTTCGCTATGTAATGGGGATGAGGACAAGTGCTACGGTTCAATAATCACAAGCATGGTTACACGTTTTGTTCATTTGGACATTGTTACGGGCCTTTCCACGACTGCATTCCTTCAAATATTAAGAAGATTCTTTGCAGGCGAATCCATACTCAGGAACAGCATTCAAGCGGCACATAGTAACCCTGCTGTAGCGAAGAACCTGAGCAATAAGGAGATTGAGTGGAAACACATAACACCGTTTGCACCATGGCAAGGAGGCTTTTACGAAGGACTGATAAAATCAATAAAGCAATCTCTTTATAAAACCTTAGTTGGATCAAAACCGACACACGAGGAACTGTTGACAACAGTAATCGAGGTAGAATCACTTACCAATACTCGATCCCTTACATACGTGGGTAATGGAGACCATGGAAATCCTACGTTCAAAAGATTTTCTTCATAAGGATATTGAGATCAAGTTGCCTTCATTGGACATGACAAGTGACCAGAATGATCCTGAGTATGTGCCATCTGCAGAAATACCAGCATTGCTAACTAAACATCAAACAATAGTTGCGCTACAAGCATCATGTGAACGTACGGAGAGGTATTGGCAGCTCTGGCAGTCTCAGTACCTAACCAGCCTACGTAAAAAGCACGCACTGACCGTGGGGACGAAACGAGGTTGCGTACTAACTCCACGTGAAGGTGAATTAGTGTTAGTGTAAAATCCGGTACTACCGCGTCAGACATGGAAAATAGCAATGATTGTTAAATTGGTGAAAAATGCAAGTGAAACAATACGAGGGGCATTACGACTACCGAGTCGGAAATTGATCCAACGTCCAATAAACCTCTTAGTTCCATCGAAATTAACAACAGAAAGTCTTCGAACGGAGAGTCATCTGGGACCATAAAAGATACCGTCGAAGACAAAAGGAATAAGGATCAGACGAGTGAAACTCCGAACCCGAGATGTAACTTAAGACGACGTGGAAAAATAAGGTATAAAGAAGAGGAAGATAATGAAAATAGGAGCACGCTTGTCTCGAGTACGCTCCTCTTCTCAACGCTTTTACAGATCCTGTTCTTATGTGTTTTTATTTCGGTCGCAGGAGCGACCACAACAAGTACCAGCAATATTCCAAATGCAATACGAAAAATAACATGTACGGAAAAAGGGGTAAATCTACGTATTTAAGAGCGAGTGCCTTATGAAATTTGTGCCGAATATTTCTCTGTCGAAATTAAGGAACCGCATGAAAACGAAACAATAACCTTCGCACCTCAAGTCATTTTGCATCATCATCAACATCTTCACCCATCGATCAAAAAACTGTACAACGAACGATATAACATTATGCGAACTCCGAGTGTTAGAATTTTTCAAGATTAACAATTTCAAGAATGAGGCTTGTTTCAGACTTTCCAACAACAGAACTACGCTGCAGGAAATCAGACTACGATGGAAGTCGTTAAACCTTCAGTGTGAACCGGTGACAGACTACTTCACTAGGGATGCGATACACAGAGTAGTGGACGGTAAACGATGCGCACATATGGGTTCGTGCGTCAACGATAAGTGCGGATCAATCAATGCCGCTAGTCTGCTTCCCGAATTAGAAAAAGGAAATCACTTTCCTGGAAGCACAGCATGCGTAGAATCATGCGGTGGATTGGGATGTGATTGCCTCAGTCCAGGCTCTGGATGCTTGTTCTACAGAGTCTATATGGAACCTGTCGACAATGAAATATACGAGGTTTTCCATTGTAACAGATGGACTGAGCTAGTTGATGTACAGCTAACGCATTTCGAAAGAGCTAAACGTAAATCATCAACATTAACGTCAAAGTTAGTTCCCAATATTCCCACAGTATGGAACTCCTTTAGCATTACTCTCCCTTCTTTGGGAATTCCCCCTATGGCATTCCTTAGGTCCCAGTTCATTTCTAATTCAGCACGTACAGCAATATGGAACAATAATGTCCGCCTGGCTTTAGAATGTCCTACGCAAGCAGACGCAAAAACTTAGGTGCTCCTTTTCTGACGAGTGTGTATGTCTGCCGGCGGAGAACAGAGTAACCTGCAAATGCAAGAACTTTCCACTCAATTCGTGGATCACTGACGTCAAGAAGCAGTTACCGGTCAATTCCCCGTCGTTGCTGATTGAAAAGCATGAAACAACACGAGTCCAAGCCCAAGTGACCAACATGGTAACCTCGGAAATAATAATGAATTTTGCGGGACGCGTAACACCAGAAATAATGGTAGATGAAGCTTTTGCAATGCTGAAGCACCCCTTTAACCGGATGCTACAACTGTGCGAAGGGTGCACTCACCCAGGTGACTTGTTATTCCTCTAGGAATAATATTGACGGCGAAGTAATATGTGATCAAGTGGGTTTTACAATACCATGCAATATCACAGGAATGACATCAATATTACGCTTTAGTGCAACTCAAGCCCACACTGAACTAACCTGTTCGATATCATACGGAAAAATCACTACCTCCTTTGAAATCGCAGGTATACTGAAGTTTACGACATCCGCCCAAGGAATCATAGAACGGTGGCTAAGAGGTGAAACAACAGACTACTCTGAAATCGGATTTCCTGATTTGTTCCACATAGCCACGATATTCCTTCAATGGCACGAAACGCTAATTTCAACACTAGCGGGGCTGAGAATCGCGTTAGCCATTACAAACTTATTTCTCAGCACTTGCGGAATCAACACTCTTGAAATCAACAATATCACTTGTACCAAGAATGCTCGCATGTGCAATAGTATATAATATTTCATCCAAGTGGTTAGGAGACCCAGCAATAAAACAGGTCATCGGTATGATAAACAGTATTGAAACTTTGAACCTCAATAATCGTAGAAACTAAATATTCTAAGAATCTAAATAAATATAGAATTATTTAGTAGACTTGTCAATATTCTAGATCAATAGCGGCAATAACAACTTTTAGCGTGAAGTTTTCACTGTTTCAGGAGACTAGACATACGTCATGGATCAGAGCGACGAATATGCGAACAGATTCCTTTCCTTTGCCCGTTCATACAAAAGAAGAAGGTGACGGTAGAAGATATCAACGGTAGAAAAGGACATGACAAAAACCCTAGGCGAAATCACACCCATGCCAGTATGGCCAAAACACTGGATACTCAGTTGGCACACCATATGTTGACTACTACCGAAGCGAACTTCACAGGATGAAAGCTCAATTCAGCAGCTTCACGACTCTGGAAAACAGCTACATACGCAAAGAAGAGGCTTCACAGTTTTACTCAACAATACTTGCTCTTCGACTGGATTTACCGAATGAATGTCGATGAGGGTAAACTTCCTACAGATAGAGAATGGAATGGTTGGAAGACGATGATCATGACATCAAAACGATATCCACGCTGGTACAGATCGAACAAAAATGCCTAGATCGCAATATCTCGGACATCGAATACGAATTGACTCGGGTCGAGAAGATGGTCATTGATGAGAAAGTCCAGAATAAGGAGACGTTCACATATCTGTCTTCAACAAAGCCATAGAAAAGCTGGAACAGAAGATGGACGATATTGCCTCGAAGCTAGTTACGCCCATGCAGAGCAGGAGAACTGATCAGTCTCCACCGTTGAAAAGAAAGCTCCATAATGTTGAAGACAAACCATCTACATCTGTCCTTCTCAGTTCGAAAAAGGCATTAATGGCATTATATTCGAGGGGAGCAGAGATTCCCGATCATTTTGGTGCCATTCATGATGTAATTTAAACACTTTCAGTTGATTCGGTGCCTCAAATTAACATCTTTCTGATATTTGATACTTTTTTTCAGTCATTTATTTCGCATGGAAGTCCAATAGATAGTTCTGCTCACGGGGACCCAGCAATATGATAATTTTTTGATTTTTTTCAATTTCGTATCTTCATTTTCGAGAAGATCGAAGATTGAATTTTAGGTACCGGAGGTGTTAACTGTGTACATAATACCATCGTAAGCCGTCCACTTCAGATGAAAATTTCGTTCTGTTTTTTATGAACTTATATGGCCCATATCTAAGGAAAGCATGGGATCGTATTCATTTTGATTTCCTTCATGATAGAATTTAAACAGTTTCAGCTGGAATCAGTGACTAGAATCATCAATTTTTCAAGAAATTGCTAGTGTTCCAAAAGGTTCATTTCATGGAAAACAAATTAGTTCTTCACTAATTTAAATGCTTCGATTAGTGATTCAACGAATACTTACTAGTCTAGGTCCAGATATGTGGTCAACACTAACTGACCCCTCGCCATCGATCTCTATAGGCCCATCACCTTCACTACTGTCGTATCCATTCAAGAGCGAGCGTGATGGTATGCAATGGCAGAAACAAACGACAACGCTGTGGCAAGTGCTGTTCATTTTTGAGTACCAAACTTACTTGAAACTACTATAAATCGCTACAGTACAATAGGCGTTCGGATTGAATGCACTTGTGTCGCTCCAGAAAACATGGCCTTGCAGAGCCACTCAGTGTTGGGGAGATCGATAACAAGGGGTCAAATACTAGCTCCACTATTGACTAACAGGCGTACAGACATGCATATATATTACATATGCACATGCTATGTGAATTATTATTTGATGTAAATAATTAGAAATTCTTCAACTTCAGAGGTGAGGTTAAAGGTTCAACATGGTCAATAGAAGAATAATGGCACTTCGAATCAGCTAATGGTGACATTCCCTTGAGTAATCGTAATACTCAAAAAAAGAAACAACAAAATCTAATTCTTCTGCTAAAATCTGCCTAGTCTCTTTCTAATGGGCATCATATAGCAAGAACTTCCCAATTTCTTAAATTATGCTGATAGGAATTAGGGATTCCACATGGTGAAACTGAAATTACTATTCGAAGTGGAGAGCTAGAGTAGAAAGAACTTTGAAAAGAAAGCTGTCGTGATAGCGTATCAAACAAAGTATCCGAAAAAAGATTTCTGCATGTTTAATATTATTCGGTATAAGGCGTACTCCTGAAGGGGCATTTCAATAGCGAAGGCCATGGGTCAATAGAAATCGATGGTGAGGGGTCGACCAGCTCAAGTTAATTAGAAAGCAATCCAGCCTTCTATGATCAAACTTTAACATGATTTTATGATGTATCATGACGACTATTGTGAAGCAACATGTACTATTCCGGAAAAAGTATCATATACCTAAAAAAAATTGAAATTTGAAGCACCGATTTAAGCTTAAAGTGTTTAAATTATATCATGTATGGTACCAAAATAATCGGGAATCTCTGCTCCCCTCGAATATAATGCCATTCATGCCTTTTTCAAACTGAGAACGAAGTTTTCTGTTGAACTGGAGATTTTAAGATGCTGTTGTATCCGCAAGCGCAGTACTCGCCGTAAGAATTCAAAAATTCACGATAATACCGCGAGTTCGCGTCTTTTTCGTCTTTTCTTTATAAATCG